ATTTTCCTTTATGTCTAATTAGTGCTCCAAAACTATAAAATTATATTAACTCTTGTATTAAGACAATTCAATTATATTATGAAGTTGATTTTGTTATTAATGCTGTGTTGAACTCTGATTGAGTTAGGATAAGTTTGTGTGTAAGTTTGGGTTCGCATAGGTATGGAACCTTGTAGGGGAACCTTGCCTATGTGCCAGTCATGGATCCGGGATCCGGGTCGTGACAAACTTGGTATCAGAGCTTTAGGTTAAAGAAACAATAATATACTTAATTTCATAATAAGTGGAGCATTACGATCCGTATTGTCTTGTCTGTTGGTTTTGAAATTTTGAATTCTCATCAAGCATGTCTTCTTCCTTGTGATAGATATGCTTTCATATAATTTTATGATAATTATCATGTTATTGTTCTAGCATGACTTAAGTGTTTTAACTTTTATTTTAGGAAATGTCGAGGAAAAGACGAATAGCCGATACTATTAGAGTAGATAATGATCAGGATGATGTCCCAATTGTGCGGTTGAGAACCGCAAGGCAGAGAAGGAGGCGCGGAGCACCTGTGTCTCAACATGTTGAGGAGGTACTGTGGGATGACCAACTAGGGTTTAGATACGATGTGCACAAAGACTAACACTATCCTGTTAGCATGGGTATTCTGACTGACATACCATAGGGTCATAATCATACTCAAACAGACATATTAATATCTCAAGGCTCAACTCATGACATCAATCAAATGAGGAGCTATCAATTCAGAAGTCAATCCAAAATACATACTGGTTCATATCAAGAATTCAGATTCAACACATGATCATGCTTATCATAACAAGGATAATAGTCACCATATATATTATCAAGAAGCATGATCCAATTCATATTAACAAATCAAATATTTATAATATTTCTCTTGCATATGGAAAATTATCCACTCACCTGACTCGAAAGCAAACAGAAATCAAAAGCAGACACCGAAGAAAATCCTACTAACATCCCGCCGGTAGAATATCAGGATTATCTGAATATAAAGAAAACATATTCAAGAATGACTCAAAAGAACATATAACTTATTTAATACACTTAACTAAGGGTCTATTTCATAACCCTATATGTATTTAGACTAAACTAATTATTTTCCTAAAAACCCAAAAATTAACGATTTTCTCGAAATCTAATCCATAATAAAACACATAATAACATTGGTAATACTTCACTAACTAACCCTAAATTATTCATCAAACCAATCTGAAAAAGCTAATATTACAGCTAGGGACTAATCTGTAATTTATCATATTTTTAAGGGTCAAATTGTAACTTTATCCATTTGGAGGACCAAACTAAAATTATCATAAGTCCATGAATATACTGAAATTCTGACCATAATTAATCCTCATTTCTGTCCAGATCACCTCATTATACTCCAGGGAACATTCTGTAATTTTATCAAATTTTTAGGGTCAAATGGTATTTTTTGTCAAATTGAAGGACCAAATTAAAAGTGTTAAAATTTCATAACTATACAGGAATTCTACCCATAATTTATCTTTTATTCTGTTCAGAATCTCGGAATAGGCTCCAGGGACCAATTTGCAAATTTTCCAAAGTTTGGGGACTAAACTGTAATTTCCCAAAATTGAAGGACCAAATTGAATTTTCATCATCTTCAACCTCAAACCCAGAATTTTCACAGATTACCTACTGTTATCCCCTGATTTCTAACACAAATTCACCATTCAAACAAAACCATAACTCAAAATCATTATTTTTATCTACAATCTCTCAAATTCAACTTAATAATCAATTACCCACAACAATCAACCCATAACATTCAACTTAATTCATCAATTAACCCAAAACACAAATTTTCAAAACCCTAACATTTATCAAAACTGAAATTAAAGCTTAATTAACACATATTTATACATAATCTTACCTTTAAACTTAATTCCTTCAACTCCTTTCTATTTTTCTTCTAACTCCCTTCTTTTCTCTTCTTCTTCTTTCTCCCTTCTCTCTCCTGCCGATTCTTTCTCAAATTTCCAGATCCCTCTTTTGTTTTTTTTTTTTAACTCCTTATTTATATTTATCATGTTTTGTTAAATTACTACACTACCCCTCATTCATTTATACCCACACTATAAGCCACCAAGGGCTTTATTGTATTTTCCTACTCATTTATTCAAAACATCACAATCTCCCCACCTTATAAAAGTTTCGTCCTCGAAACTTAATAGGAAAGATTGAATACTTACCGAGATTATCAAAAAGATGAGGATACTCCTCACGCATCTTATCCTCGAGCTCCTATGTCGCTTCCTCATGTGAATGACCCTTCCATTGCACTTTCACTGAAGCTATATCCTTTGACCTAAGCTTCCTCACTTGTCGGTCGACTATAGCTTCTGGTTGCACCTCATAAACCATATCATCCCTCAATTCAACAGGATGAACTTCTAACACATGCGATGGATCTGTCATATACTTCCCTAACATGGAAACATGAAATACTGGATGGATAACAGACAAGTTTGGTGGTAATGCTAACCTATAAGCAACTGCCCCAACTCTCTCCAGAATCTCATACGGTCTAATGAATCGAGGACTCAACTTACCTCTCTTCCCAAACCTGAATACTCCCTTTGTTGGTGATACTTTTAAAAACACACAATCACCCACTGAAAACTCTAAGTCACGCCTTCTTCTATCTGCGTAACTCTTTTGTCTACTCTGAGCTGTTTGAATCTTATTTCTAATTACCTCTATTTTCTCTAAGGTAATCTGAATCAACTCTGGTCCCATTAACCTCTTCTCACCAATTTCAAACCAACAAACCGGTGATCTACACTTCCGGCCCGACCATACAAAGCCTCATAAGGTGTCATCTCTATGCTAGCCTGATAACTGTTGTTGTAAGTAAATTCCACTAATGGTAGGAACTTACTCCAACCAACTCTAAAATCCATAACACAAGCCCTTAGCATATCCTCCAAGATCTGAATAGTCCTCTCAGACTGACCATCTGTCTGTGAGTGAAAAGCTGTACTCAACTACACTTTAGTACCCATAGCTTCTTGGAATTTCACCCAAAACCGCGATGTAAACTGTGAACCTCTATCTGACACTATCGAGATTGGCACTCCATGCAACCGTACAATCTCACTAATAAACAATTCTGCCAACTTTGCATATCCATAAGTAATCTTAACTGGCAGAAAATGGGCTGATTTTGTCAACCTATCAACAATCACCCATATCGAATCATAACCCTCCTGACTCCTTGGCAATCCTGTCACAAAGTCCATTGTGATCCTTTCCCACTTCCATTCTGGAATCAACAATGGTTGCAACAATCCAGGAAGCTTCTAGTGTTCACCCTTTACCCTCTGACAGGTCAAACACCTAGAAACAAAGTCTGCTATATCATCCTTCATCCTATTCCACCAATAACATACCTTAAGGTCTTTATACATTTTGGTGGAACCTGGATGCATTGTGTAAACTGTCTGATGTGCTTCTACCATCAATTCTCTCTTCAGATCATCTACATCAGGTACACAAAGCCTATCTTTATATCTCAGTACATCATCATCACCTATCACAAAACCTGCAGCCTTACCCTGCTCAACCTCATTTCTGATCCTGAGTAGTGACTCATCATTCTTCTGAGCTGCTTTTATCTTATCAAACAAATCTGACTTAACTTGAAAATGAGCAATCATTGCTCCAGCTTCACTAAGATCAAATCTGACTCCTTCATCCACTAACTCATGCAGCTCCTTAATCAGAGGTCTTCGTACCTCCTGAATATGAGCTAAGCTCCCTGATGATTTTCTACTCAAAGCATCGACAACTACATTTGCCTTACCCGGGTGGTAATGTATGGTACAATCATAATCCTTCAGCAGTTCCATCCATCTCCTCTGCCTCATGTTTAGATCTCTCTGCTGAAAGATATATTTCAAACTCTTGTGATCTGTAAAAATCTCACAAGTTTCACCATACAAGTAGTGCCTCCAAATCTTCAAAGCAAAAATGACAGCCGCCATCTCTAAATCATGTATAGGATAGTTCTGTTCATGCTTCTTCAGCTACCGTGAAGCATAAGCAATAACCTTGCCATGCTGCATTAGAACACATCCTAACCCTACTCTTGAAGCATCACAATACACTATGTAACCACCAAAACCTGATGGTATTGCTAGAATAGGCGCTGTAGTCAATCTTTTTTTCAACTCTAAGAAACTTTTCTCACAAGCTTCAGACCACTGAAACTTAACATTCTTCTGCGTTAACTTAGTCAATGGTGTAGAAATCTGAGAAAAGTTCTCCACAAACCTCCGATAATAGCCTGCCAAACCTAAGAAACTTCTAATCTCTATTGCCAAAGTAGGCCTAAGCCACTTCTTAACTGCTTCAATCTTTTGAGGATCAACCTCAATCCCATTCCTTGACACTACATGCCCAAGAAATGATACACTCTCCAACCAAAACTCACTCTTTGAGAACTTGCCATACAACTGATGATCTCGCAGAGTTTGAAGCACCATTCTCAAGTGCTGCTCATGCTCCTCTTTAGACCTCGAATACACTAAAATATCATCAATAAAAACTATCACAAATTGATCAATAAACTGACCAAACACTCTATTCATCAAATCCATAAAAGCTGTTGGTGCATTCGTCAACCCAAAAGACATCACTAAAAACTCATAATGACCATACCGAGTTCTAAAAGCTATCTTTGAAATGTCTGTCTCCCTAATCCTCAATTGATGATACCCAGATCGAAGATCGATCTTAGAAAAGAATTGAGCTCCCTGCAATTGGTCAAACAAGTCATCAATACGAGGGAGTGGGTATCTATTTCGAACTGTTACCCGATTCAGTTGTCTATAATTTATACACAACCTCAATGACCCATCTTTCTTATTCACAAACAACACTGGGGCTCCCCAAGGGGACACACTTGGTCGGATGAACTTTTTATCTAACAAATCCTGCAGTTGCTCCTTCAGCTCCCTCAATTCTGCTGGCGCCATTCTATATGGTGCCATTGATATTAGTTCAATACCCATAACCAAATCAATACAAAACTCAATCTCCCTATATGGAGGCAATCCAGGTAAGTCATCGGGAAAGACATCGATAAGCTCCCTAACTATAGGGACATGGTCTAACTGAGGAACTTCTTTCTCTACATCCACTATATGTGCTAAGTAACACTGTACCCCTTTTTGGGCCATTTTCCTCGAGATAGCCAACAACATAATTGATGGAGACCCAATCTTATCTCCTTGAGATACCAACCCAACTTCTTTATCTAGATCAAACAGTATTTTCTTATCCCAACAATTTACCAAATCCCTATGCTTTGCCAACCAATCCATTCCCAAAATTACATCAAAATCAACCATATCTAAGACATTTAAGTCTCCCATAAAGATCTTATCTCCAATCTCTATTTCACAATCCAAATACACATACTTCACCAATATTAATTCATCTAAGGGAGTGGAGACTGAAATTGGGGATTTTAACAAGGTTGGTTGTTTATCTAACCTCATAGCAAAATATGGAGACACAAATGAATGGGTTGCACCAGTATCAACAACACCTTTGCTTCAAAAGAGCAAACAGGAAGAATACCTAAAACAACTGTGTTGGATGCCTGAGCATCCTACTGAGTCAAGGAAAAAACTCTGGCATGCCCCTGACCCTGTTGTATCTGACCTCTATCACCTGCACCCCGACCT